GTGTCGCTGGTAAACCAGAGGCTGGGGTTCAGGTGGCTCTCTGGTTTTGCTGCTGGTCAGCTGGGTGATGCAGGCAGGTCCTTGGACCAATTTCCCCACCTGCAAAGCTTTAGGATGGGCTTTGAGCCCCCATGCTGGGATTTCACCTCTCCCAGGAGCGGCGCTGCTGCCGTGGCTCGCAGGAGGTGCTAGGAAGGGCTGCCCGGTGCGAAGTGGCTTTGGGGCTTGGCTGGTAGCATCTGCTCGGTTCTGCTGCTGCTTCCCAGCTGGGGTGGTGACACTGCCCTGCAGGGTCCCCAACCTGTCCACCTGAACCTGTCCCCAGCTCTGACTGCATGTGAAGCTGCTTTGTCACCGGTTCGCTCCCTGCTCCAGCACAGCAGCTAGAAAACCTCTGTGTCAGCTTGTCTTATGCTGAGCAGCTGGAGGGGATTTCATCTGCCCTTTGGCCACTGTCATCCCACAGTTCCTTGTCCGCTCCTCACTCTTTTGGCCAACCTTCCCACTCCTCTTCCTCCTCCTGCAGCCCCGGGCTGAGGCTGGATCCGAGCGTTGGGATGTGATAATTCTGATTGCGGAGGAAGCCCCAGAGCATTTGGGGCTGACCCTGCATTCTCCCTGGGTAGAATAAGATGCTGCAGGCAGGGAGCCATCCCAGTAGCACCAGGAGTGTAACTGGTGCCAGAATGCCTCTGGGTACCAGTGGCTTAAGCTGTGTGCAGGTGTCCCTGTGCTGGATGACAGGGTTGGATCCCCTTCCTGGAGCTCTGCGGGTGGCTTCATGTCCTTGCACCATGTGCAAACGGGGATGTGCCACGAGCATCTGCACATGGCGGTGTCTGCAGCGTGGGATGTGTCTCACTCCAATCTCTGTGCTGGTGCTCTCACCTGCTGGAGCGGCTGCGGCCTGGATCAAGGTCTGGCTGGGAGAAAGGGGCTCATGTGGGGATGTCTGGGACCGGGGCTGCTGGGCTGGTGTGGCATGGGGTGCTCCAGGGGGTTTGATGTGCTGCCAGATGGTGCTTGCATTCCCTCAGAAATGTGTTGCTCCTGCTCCAGACGCTGGC